TTGTTCTGTCCACGATATTTTCAATATTCTTCTGTACACCCACAACTCGAATGATTCCAGTTTTTTCATTGATGTTGCATTTCAAGGTCCAAGATTCCGTTCCATAAAACAAAGTCGAAAAAACATAGCACCTCGCCAACCTAACTCTTAGTTACAGTTTTAGTTTAGTTTTAACAGAAGCACGAGTACACGTAACATTTAAGATTTTTGTTTCTAGGGTGAGGTCATGGCTCTTGAACACAGACCTCATAGTCAAGAATGCACTTTTTACCTTTACGATGCGAAATTTAATCTCTTGAGTATTGTCCCACGACTCATTGATTACAGTTCCCAAGTAGTTGTACTGTGAGACACGTTCAATTCTCATTTGGTTCACATACAGATTTGCTCCAGTTATGTTTACCTTGCTGATGATCATTAGCTTGGTTTTGCCGGTGTTTATATCTAGTCCATATATGTTCTACTTGTTTCAGTTGTGTTTTGTTCATTAAGTTTTGCATCCCTTCTATGGTATTGTAAAACACTATTGTATCATCTGCATACTGCAGGTTATTGAGCTTGAGTCCATTTATTGAGATGCCTTCATGAATATCTTTTAGAGCCTCTTTAAAAATTAAATTATGTAATAAATCAAAATTTTTTTCTTGTTATAACCAAATTTGCCTCGCTATAGAGGGTTATAGTTCAATAGAAATTTCACGGGACATCTAATGTACATCGTTATAAGCGAAACCTCGTAATTTCCGTGTTCGTTATAGAGGGAGTATACTGATGTAAACTATTGAAAAGCTTGCTATTGTTCTGAAGAATTAAAAGCCAAATATTATGTCTTTGAAGCACAAATTAGTCAAATCTTTTCCATTTGAATCGCCATCAAAGTAGGTGGCACTTTTGTTTGCTAACCACTGAAGTGGGAAGTATTTTGAAGGCATTAGTTGGAGCTTGCAAGTTAAAATTTGTATCAGCCGGAGGGAATGAATAGATGATGACACCGAAGTAACAGTTATCTCACTCCATTGATACCGATTCAAATGCGAATGTGAACTCTTAGTGGTCACTCGACAATGAGGAGTAGGCAAATTGGGACCTCAGTGCCGTTTGATGGTTCTTGTGTTTCTATAGAACACGATACTGGTACGTCACGAGTGACGAGAGTAGGCACATTGAGACCCCGAACTCGAACGGAACCGTATCCCTCTTGATAATGTCTAAAAGGGGTGCCTAAACGTCGAGTTTCAAATTCTCAACGCGGTTCTTCCCGAGAACTTAGTAATTTTCATTTACCTGACCGCGGAAATTTATGAAATATATAATATTTGTCTAGAGAAAGTGTTAGTGATATTCGACATGTTTGTGGTAGATGAGTGTCGTGTAGAGTAGGTACATCCTCACGAGGAAATACAAAAAATGAAATGCGTCTTCTCCATTTAAAAGCTTTTTCTTCACTTTAATAAAAATAACAGACTAAGAGGTCCCAAAATTATGTTCACGCATTAAACAAACAGATAAGGATCATCCAATATTGACAATAAACTGTTTGCGTTTAGACGGAATTTTAAAAGTAATATTGAAATCCGTAAGATTTTTGTTTGTTAAAAAGAAAATATTGTCCTTCGATAGATCTAAATATATATCGACCACAATGATTCGCTAATGGTGGTATGAGATGATAAATAGAATGTAAATATTGAGGTTGTACATTTCCTTGCAAAAGTATCCGATGATAATAAATTTCATATTTTTATACAGTATGTTTATATATAGTGGTCACTAAGGAAAATTACAATTCACCTAATCTTTTCTATATAACTATTCACAGGAGTTATATTTTTATATAACTCCGCTGATATTCTATTATAGCATCTTAATGATAGTTATATGTCCTCATAGTTCTGGCAAGTTTGACTTTTCTATTTTGACCATACTCTTTCCTATGTAGAGTATTTTTTTCGTTTTCTCATATTGTTTTTAATTGAATAACATATATTTTTCAGAGATTCACCCACTGCTTTCATTATTTTTGACTTTATCAGTTCTGTTACTTCCTCTTCTGTTGGTATTTCTATTATATTATCATTATTCTTTATTGTATGTATCTCCTAAACGTAAAAAGTGTTAAACGAAGAATAGAAACCATACTAATACTTAAAGTAAAGTAAAGTAAGATCCAATTTGTTAGATGAAACTAATTTCAGGACAAACTTGTCGATAAAATGAAGATCATTTATTGTAATCCGTCACACCTCAAATAAAAATCAATAAATTTCTGCTCCCAGTACACTTCCGGTACCGCTTTATCTAATCATTTACATACTTCGACAATTCAACAAACACGCAATGACGTAACTCCCAGCAACGTGGTACTTGACGACCGACGCCTGCTAATATTGTCAACAAACATGTCATCTCGGCCGTTACAACTCTATTGAATGAAGGAATTTGTTTTGATTCCCATTTAATCTCGTCGTCGATAGTGAAATGTTCAATGAACAATGCCATCAAATTGCCCGTTTTATTCTACTTGTTATGTAAATGCAGTTATCGGTGCATTTCAAGGTTTACCACTAAAAATAAAGATTTATAGTAACTTGTTGCGATGGCAAACAAGTTTTAAATTTAAGTACCTCGTTAAATAATTTAAAAGTCAACAAAACGTGTTAAACTGTATAACAAAACTATACTGATGTTGGTTTTTTGCCCGAAAACCTTTAATAGGTTAGATGTGAAGTTCACACAGGTTAACATTTCATATATGCATTCCTCCGGATGTGTCTACCTTTTACATGTCCATATATTTCGCCATTACTGTGGTAGATACAAAAACCTATGACTTTTTAAAATCTTTCCTCATGTGAAGTTACTTTCACCTTCGTCATGTGTTTGTACTTCAACATGTTATAGTAATCTAAAAAAAATTTTTGCATGCCTGTTCCGGTTATCCCAGTCTTATTTTTAATTCCCTTTGAGATTTCTACTGATACCACATCCTGATTTCAACGTTTTGATCTTTTGTTTCATTTATCGTAACACCAAGATATTTGTAATTTTTCACTATTTCAATTTTCAATGGGAGTGTAATTTATTTTATTGGTTCTATGATCAATTATGCAATCCATTAAATAAGATTTTTTATCACCTACTAACAAACTTTTCCGGAAGCAGATATATGTCAGTTTCTATTTCATTAGCTACAAAGAATATTCTTTTCCTTCTTTACCCCTTTAGCTTGTTAAGCCAGCAACATAGCCTCTGCGTTACGGCCGCCATTTTTAGAGGGTGATAAGATATCATTTCAATTCATATTATTGAAGATGATAGGCAGAGTTTAAATTAATAGGGTTTGATAGTCACCGAAATACATGATCGAAACGTTTTATATAATTATTCTTAAACCACGAATTCAAAGTGTAATCAATATGTATTACAAAAACTATGTCTTATCTGACACTTTTAAAAGCAATTGAAAAATTATATACAAAAGCAGAGAGAATAAGGCTAGAGATAAACCAACAGGAAACAAAATACATGATGATAGTAGAACAAGTCAGAAATATCTAATATCACTTCTTCTTCTTCTTTAAATGCCGTCTCCCAATCAGAGGTTGGATATATAGTCAGATACATAAAATTTTTTCGCTTAGAATGGATAGGACATATACAATGACGCCCACATTCAGATATGCTGAAAAGGATAACTAACTGAAGACGGCTGAAGGACGTAGAATAAGATATAAGAACTATGAATGTTAAAAACTGGAAAGTTTTTCCAGTAACACTATCGCAGAAATGCTCTTCCAAAATAAAGGACGGTGTTTGAAGATTATGTTTATGTTGGTCTTTTTCATTGTCTATGCAAAATTAAAAGAAAAATCTTTCGTCATTTTTGCTTAGATTAAGATATCCTGATGTAATATGTTGCAGATAACACTTTCTAGTTGTTCATATGTCACTTTCAGCTCGTCATTTGAGTGGCTTGGAGTTGGTATGTATATTTCACCAATATATAGTTTGGAGGGTTTGGAATCGAATGATATTTTAATAATACTGTTTCATGAAAAATGCCACTTTATTTCTGCAAGTGTATTTGGCTTCTGTGTATACTGTGTGGTCAGCTGAAGTAAAATGGTCTCATCCTTTCTAATGTATTTCTGCGATCCCGGATTCCAATGTATTTCTGCGATCTCTTTGTAACCTCTTTTTTAAAGTAGTCGATATATCTTCTTTTAAGATATATGTAATTTTAGAGCCCGCCGAACTTTATAACAAAGCAAGTTTAACACGAAGTATATTTAAGATATCTTGAAAAATGTTGTAAGAGAAACTTGATCCATAATAAATGATCTTCAAAATAAAACTGACACAACTCATACATTTTCTCTTTAAAACCCTGAAAATCTAAATGAATGCTTCGTTAACGTGAGTAAAAATGTAACATCAACTATTTTTCCAAGGGATCTATTTCTTATCTCCCCAATTCAAAAAAGGTCTCGAATTCATTCTTTATAAGACCAGTTGATAAAGCTAAACTGATCCAATCAAGCAGTAGTATCAAAAACAAATCTTCCTAAACATGTGTTGAAAGTCCTTGTCTCACTAATTAACGAGTCCTTTGAAAAAGGTATATTGTCTAAAGAAGTGCCTAAAGAAAGCCATTATTATTCCTAAAGGTGGTGAAAAATCGAATGTCTGCAACTATATTGCCTTACTACTGGTCCTATCTAAAATTATTGAGAGACTTCTAAAAGCCCGACTTATGTCATTTCTCGTTGAAAACAATATTTTATCACAAAGTTAGTTCGGCTTTTTATCTAATAAATGTAACAGTGATGCCATCTTTTCTGTACTACATGATTTAGTACCGCCATATTTCAAAATAAAGTGCTGCCACCTATAGATGTTCAAGAACGCGAATAATAGCTTTCTTTCTCATTATATGTCACAAAAAACTAGCTTCTTCAAAGTCATAATAATAATGTTTGGTTACTAACAATCTGACAGTGTCAAAAACTGACAAAAATTTTCTGTAGATTTACCATGAGTTACGATCTTTATGACATTAAAGAAGAAGACCTCAACGAAATTCCAAGTGAAATAACCACTATATCAGGATTTGCTTCAAACGACGAAATACCAGAAGATTTAGAACTTATCGGTATCATTGCGGAGGAAGATACCTGCGTTGGATTTCTGTTAGGAGGCATAGGACAACTAAACAAATATGACGAGCCGAACTATTACATTTATACCGACCAAATAGAATTTATAGAACTGGAAAATATATTTTTAAACTTTCTAGAAAGACGTGACATCAGTATTTTGCTCATCCAAAAAGAGGCAGCTGAAAAAATTCGCCACACAATTCTCGTTCATCAAAGGAGTAAGTACATGCCGGTGGTTGTCGAAATTCCTGGAAAAAATGGCCCTTATGATATCAGCATTGATTTTCTGTTGGACATATTTGACTGCCACGAAAAGGAAAAGGATGTGAAATTGTCAGAACGAAGGCAGAGTTTAACTGATAAGAGAGTGCATTGGGACCACGACGAATCCAGTGAACATGTTAAAGGATCCCATTCTAGCGATAATCATAGATCGAGCAGTACGAGTTCTGTCTCTGGACACTATGCGAAAGATTTTTTTAATGAATAGAAGTACAGCTAGGGTATGTAACAGCATATTTATAAATGTGAATATAAAATATATATTTACCGAAAGTGTTTATCTATGAGATTCATATTTACATGTTTCTGGTCAATATTTCTGGTTTAAATTTCATACACTTCCGTGACTACAGTTTTCTGGTGTTTCCGGTTTTAGCGTCTTTTGTTCTTCCTCTGCATAAAGCCTTTTTAGGAAGCCAATCCACGTATCTTTTTCTATGTCTTTTGGTTCTATTAGTTCATTTCCCTCCGTTCTTTGACCTCTTATGAAACGCTATTTTCTTTTGCAGACTGTAAAAATCATGTTCCATTTCTTTCGAAAAGGGTTCCTAGTAATGATTTATTATTTTTCTTATAAGTGCGTATTCTAATTGGTTTGTAATTATGGTATGCCTCTTGTGTTTTGGTCGACATGTTTTTCATTTAAGCTTTTATCTTTTCTTTACATTTTTCCTTATTTCTGTACAAAACCATGGAATTCTTCGACTTCTTTGTTGTTTACTACCTAGACATTTGATATACGCTTTCCTTTTTTCATTACAATAACATAGATTTTTTATATGTTTACAAAAAAACTGTAGGTAGCTTACTTTTGTTAGCTGCCCACGTGCCTGAAGAGAAGAGTATTTGATCAATGCGTCCTCCCAGTGTTGATATACGGTACAAAGCAGAAAAACTTACTTTAACAAGTACTGAGAGTCACACAGGGAAGAATCAAGCCATCAATGTTAGAAATAACTCTGCGAGACAAAATAAAAAACGAAGAGATCAGGAGAAGAACCAAGGTGACTGACGTCATCGACAGGTTTGCCAGACTAAAATAGAGATGAGCGGTACACATAGCTAAGAGTGGATTTGTGAGGCAGGAGAATGTTGAAAACAAAATTATATGAACAAAAAAAATTATTTTGGGCAGTGAAAAATATAGTTAAGTATTTGAATAGATCCAAAAATGTCTTTATATGATTGAACGAGTGTGACTTTCAACAAATTACGTTGAGACTGACACTGACATTCACCAAAATATTTACCTAACTAGTTCTGTCGCCGAATGACCAAAATATCAGCGCCATTCTACGCGAGTTAATTAGATTATTAGCATTTTGGGATTAAACGGAAGGTATTACGACCGTATAAAAATATTTTAATAACATGAATTGTGGAGCTCCCAATTATTGTGTTGGTTAAAAGTCATTTTGTGACCAATCAATCGATGAATGAAATGCGGAAAGCATGAAATTGAACAAACACGATATATTTAATTAAGTGAGATGCATTATTCAAAACGGACTATTTGCAAGAACGAATCATATGGCATTTGTGGCCTATAAATAAACCAGGTTTATACATAGTGTGGTATTTATAATACAGCCCCAAACAGCTTGAGGACAAATATAATATACATGTAAAAAGTTTGTGTTTCTGCAATTAAAATTATTCGATTTTATGACCGATTTATGTAAAACGAAATGTGAGTTTGATCGTTATAGTTGAGTACTAAAATCTTGGTATATGAACTCTCGAACTATTGTTGCACCTTACTTTATAATCAATATGCAGTATAAGATTGGAAATATTTTATTGCTATTTCAACATCTAGGTAATAAAATATTTTTAGTCTAAGTTAGTCCATTCTAAGTCGCAAAGGCACGAGTAGATAGGCTATGTACTTCCTGGACCAACCCCTAAATTGCAACCCCTAAAATCGCAACCCCCGGTCGTAAGTTCCAAACGGCTTAACGTAGGATGACGTACGAGGGCTCGTTGGAAAGGGGATGAAAAATGGGGTTGAATGCAGTATGTGCCGTGCGCATCGGAGCATGCCAAAAGGTCATTATGGGGTATCTTCGTTTCTATTGGTCCGATCGTGACGTACGAGGGCTCGTTGGAAAGGGGATGAAAAATGGGGTTGAACGCAGTATGTGCCGTGCGCATAGGTCAATGCCAAAAGGTCATTATGGGGTATCTTCGTTTCTATTGGTCCGATCGTGACGTACGAGGTCTCGTTGGAACGGGGAGAAGGCAGGGAGACAAAAAACAAAGATGGAGGCGTTGCCAAATGGGCGCTAAAACGTATATTCGTTGCTATTGGTCTGATTTTGACGTATGAGGTGTCAAAGCGTTGGATGTCACGTGTCATTCGACGCAGGACGTGACATTTGTCACAGAACGTGACATTTGACGCAGGACGTGAAATGTCACGTGAAATGATGTGACATTCGACGTAGGACGTGACATTTGACGCAGGACATGTCATTTGACGCAGGATGTGACATTTGACATAGATCGTACAATGTCACGTGAATTGACGTGACATTCGACGCAGAACGTGAATTGACGTGATATTCAACGCAGGACGTGACACGAGGGCTTGATGGAACGGGGATGAGACGGGGAATACTTTGACACAAAAAACAAAGATGGCAGCATTGCCAAATGGGCGCTAGAATGCATCTTTGTTGCTATTGGCATGATTTTGACGTATGAGGTGTCAAAGCACAGATACCATGTCAACGATCGGTATGAACATTCTTCTTCTTCTTTTCTTTTCCGGACAGTGGCTAAGAGAACGTTGACGAAGGACGTGACATTCGACGCAGGACGTGACAGTTATGTGACATTCAACACAGAACGTGAAATGTCGTGAAATTTGACGCAGGAGGTGACAGGTATGTGACATTCAACACAGAACGTGAAATGTCTCGTGACATTTGACGCAGGACGTGACATTCGACGTAAGACGTGTCATATATGTGGCATTCGACACAAAACGTGAAATGTCACGTGAATTGACGTGACATTCGACGCAGGACGTGACATTCGACGCAGGACGTGACATTTATGTGACATTCAACACAGGATGTGACATTCGACGTAAGACGTGTCATTTATGTGGCATTCGACACAAAACGTGATATGTCACGTGAATTGACGTGACATTCGACGCAGGACGTGACATTCGACGCAGGACGTGACATTTATGTGACATTCGACACAAAACGTGAAATGTCACGTGAATTGACGTGACATTCGACGTGGGACGTGAAATGTCGTGACGTGTGACGTTGTGACGTGACGTTTGACATTTTAAAAGACAAAGACACAATAACAGAGGACAACAGAGGGTAGCAGAGGGTAACAGAGGGTAGCAGAGGGTAACAGAGCGTAGCAGAGGTACACAGAGGGTAACAGAGCGTCATAACAGAGACATTCAGATGCCTTCAGTGACACATATGCAGCGGCACGAGGGAAATACCAGCGTAAAATCGTTTTATTCCACTTCGAACGAATGGCATAGTTATTGACGCTAACAGAACATCGAGGCTTATTCGTAATCATATTCATAACAATTCGGGTGATATACAAAATTAGCGAATACAAATGGTAAGTTGAATACTATATTTTATCTACGGCATTTCGGGCAATATTTTATTTGTAGGTTGGTATTGTGCTTCGGTAAATATATATTTCCACCAACAATCCGTACCAGTTAAACTGACACTACAGCATCTCATACAAAATAGGTTAAATATAGAATTAAAAACAATTAACATAAAAAAACCTATATAAGTATCAACGTTAAATTCGACGATAATGCTTAGTCACGGTACAGCTGAAAGTAAAAAACCATTGAAAAGCCACTCATAAATGTCAAATATGCTTTACAGAGGTACAATGCTAAACATATAATAAAACAATGTTAAATACTACCAAAATAAATACCTGCAAAAAAACACCCTACAAAGAAAGAAGAAGCAGAAAGAACGAAAAGCATATCTTAAAACAGAAGAGGTACTAATGTGTGCAACAAGTAAAAAAAAAAGTAATAAACACGTACTGACAGATAGCAAATAACCTTCAAATAAAATCGAGATGCAATGAAGTAATAAAACACTTATCTACGGATAGGAACTAATAATCAAAGCAGTCAACATGCAATGAAAAATGCATTAAAAAACATCAAACTTATAAGAGGCATCATGCAAAAAGTAATAAGCACCAACAGACTAATAGGAAATAATAATCAAAGCATTTGATATGCAATGAATATACATTAAAAAAAATCATCAAAATTATAAGGGGAAACATGCAAAACAGTAATAATCACCTACCCGTCGGAAAGGTAATAAAATACAGTTAATACAATAAATCATAATGAAATATGTTAAAAACGAGACATGAGACAGAAAATTGGCGACAATTAACAAAGAACATAAAAAAACGTTTACAAATAGCTGAGTACATATCCGATATACGTAATCTTTGAAAAACGAGACAAAAAGATGGAACTTCTGTGAAATATGTTAAAATACAATAAAACTATGTAAACTATAGTTAGAAAATTAATACCTACAAAGAAATAAGCAAAAAATATATATACCGAACAAACATATCTTAAAACAGAAGAGGTGCTAATGTGTAAAACAAGAAGGAATACAACCTCAAGGCAAATACACTGTCTCACAAAAAAAGCAAAGAACAAAGCCGCCTTGTAAATGTCGTGAAAAATACATTAAAAAACATCAAAAACATACACATAAAATGTAAAAAATGGAGAAAGCAATCTAGCATTTAACATGTAATCATATCAATAAAAAACAACACAAAGGACAAGAGGTGTTATACATAAACAAAAATTACTAGTTACTCCCCGACGGTAAAATAAATTACCAAAATACTGCTAAAGGTAAAGGTAAAAACAGTGCCAAAATAGTAGAGTATAGCTAGACGTAATCTTTGGAAAAAATGAGACAACCGAACGAAAATCTGTAAAATATGCTCAAATATAATAAACTTATGTAAACTGCCGTCGCAAATAAAGAACTACAAAGAAATACACAAATATACTTAGGTAATATGCTAAAAAATATAATAAATACTACATGCAAATTATTGACAAAAATAAATACCCGCAAAAGTAAAGCAAAAAAAAGTTAAATAAATACCGAATTACATGAAAACTATGTAAATTACAGTCACAAATAAATACGTGCAAAAAAAAAATAAGAAAAATAAAAACACATACCCTAAAATCCAGA